TACAAGGGAGGTTTCCTTTGACTTTGCTTTGTTGATGATACTCGACAGATTTCCGAGGTAATTGCATCGAGGAAACGTGGGATTTATTTTACATACATTGTCTGCAATTAAGAGGGATAGGACAAAAATACGAGAACGTGACAATGGAGATAGATTAAATTGTTTATTCCATTTAACCCTTTCACAGCGGCTTCGTTTCGGCTTGTTGATAATTAAGGCTCTCTTCAAGTGTTTAAAAAATTCTTTTTTGGCTTCGTTATTCTTTGTTACCTGAACTAAATCTAAAAAATATAAACTATACTAAACTATACTAAACTAGACCGTTCAGATGCAATTAGACATGTGTGTCTCAGCAGCTGCGAATGGGTTAAAGCATAATTTAATAACAAGTTCGACGTCAAACCTTTTAAATGCGGCGGTAAAAGGGTCTAAATCTCTTTCCTCGGTTCGATTACTTGAAAAATTTGAAGATTTTCATCGATAACACCGTTCAAAGGATCGAAACCTTTCCTGTGAGAAATATTCTAAACATACTACTCTTGACTACAAATTTCCGAATACGGACTCTCAAGCGCTGCTATTAGTGCATAGTATTTAAATTACACACGATGAAAATGAAGTCTCACCAAAATGGAAGACAAAACGGAATTATTCCGGCAAACGTACGTCGCATGCGTTAAATTCATAATCGAAGCATAGGGAGCCGAATTATATAGATGCATCGTGTGCTACGATGCGACACCGATAGTATATTATTCGCTTCCTATTGCGAACGTTATGTGACCAAATTTTTAACGATAATCGCGAGCAAAATTTTTAGAACGACTCGTCGAAAGTGACGCGCGAAATGTAAGAAAAGCGGTTGCATAGTTGGCTGATTGAGTGAAAATGCGTATTATATATTATGTATCGTCAATTGTATAGCGATGTTGTTACTTTTTTTATATGTGTCTAGTATTACCCCTTGTTTTGGGCATGATGTAAAATTGAGAGATATACAATTGGTAATTGTATCCATGTGAACCGCTAAAATAGTAAGAAACGCGTTACGTGGCCAGGGACATGCAATTTCTTGATACAATTTCGTTTTGTTACGCAGAGTCTGACTTCTTGCAACATAGCGAGCCATCCTTCATGGAAACGACAACGACGGAAGTGGACCCTGAAACGCAGGAAAGGTATAATCGATGTGTTCTATGAATTAATATGTACACCATTTCTGTGTTTTACTTTTTATTTGCCTGTTTATTTTATACGTACTTATACATACGTTATTATACACGTACACATATTATACATATAACTTATTATTTATACAGAATGAATTTTTAAAATACTTTTAATTCAAGTTTCTGAAATTGTACATATATATATATATATATATACGTAATATAATTTTATATAACATTTATACTCAATGTATATACTCATACGTGACATTTCAGAAACTTCAATTAAAAATATTTCGGAAAAATCTAAACTGGCACAGCTGCCTGTCTGGTAGATTAAGAAAATTGTTATCGAACAAGAGTACTGCCATTATAATTACATCGAATGTTTTACGTTTTTTATTACTCGTCTCGCGTAGGTTGTTTTATGAAAAAGAAATTCTTTTCGCAGAATAACGAGAACTGTCCAAGTTGTAACAACGACCACCAGCAGTACCATGGGCGATCCAGACGAATTGCGAGACTCCATGCAAAAGATCGTCGACCGGTTCATGACGGAAGAAAGGCGAGAACAGTGAAGCATGAAAAATCTAATGGGCGATCATAGGAATAAGATAGAATCCTTCATCACCTGACGGCCGTGGAAAACGAAACGAGAGCGTTCAAAGAAAATTCTTTAGCACTGATTCAAGGAAGCACCTCGGTCTGGTTCGGCGCATCCTCGAGCGTCGAACGAGACGTTCTCTGTACAAAGATCGTAAACGGATCTCTGTTCGCGATCTGTATCTATAAATGTCAATGCAGAATATCTTATTATCGCGGTGCTTACCGGTGAGCACAGGAAAAGCATGCACGAGAATTTACTATCACACTCATGGCCTACGCTTCGGATTTGCTTGCCTTTTGGTTAAATTAAATTGCCTTACGTATCTTACGTTTACTCTTGCGATCGAATAGCGTATGTCGTTGCTGATCCGACTAGCTTGATCCGCTAGTTTTCACTAAGCTAACCCGTCCATGTACAACGCCTTTCTCATGTTGTTCGAATCGATAGACGAGAGGGAGAATGTAACGAAGGAATGTAACCGATCTTTTAAGAACAACATGGACGAACAGAGAGGAGAGAATGTTCGTCTCGAATGCACGCTCGACCAACATTACAGCGATATATATTTGTAAACCCTTCTTGAGGAAGAAAACGGTATACGAGACGAAATTGAGGAAATAAATAGGTCTTGCGGTGACTTCGCAAAACTCGCCACTTGGCGGTTCGTCTTAGCTTTAGGATGATTGTATATCTATCCGCGCAATACATCGCTTTATAGGTCTGCAGAAACACTTGAGTCACACACATACATACACCGAAAGAAAAGGAGCGGTTCTAAAGGAATGGAGATTTTTGTTGCTATTCGAGTTTCGCGAGAGGATTTGGTTGGCCTCCGACACGACGATCTACGCGATCGTCTACCATTCGAATGGCAACAAAGAACAAATGTTTTTATGAATCGGAATACAATGTAAATTTAACTTATTTAAAAGAAATATTTCCTAACAATTTTTAATTGTATATATAATAATTTCTTAGCGTAACTTATATAAATGTACTATTATACGATTGTAATAATTGCAATATTGTAACACGAATACTTTATTTATATAGCAGAATCATTGGACAAATTGTTAGATGCATAAATCTTAAGATCAGAGGGAATGTTAAATCGGCGATCTCTATCCTTCGTGCGATCGTGTAAATTATTATGACTATTAAACAAATGAACAAAAAAGAAAAAATAAAAGAAAAATGCAAATGACATGACGATTATAGAAAATATGTTGTTTAAAGTTTAACGACTCGAGACACGTCTTAATATTTAAGCAGCATTAGCTTTCAGTGTATAACACAGTTTTAAAAGGCACAGAAAGGAATCATATAGTATGTATCTAAAAAGAACAAATATATACATACTTTAAATAAGGTATTCTATTAATGTATAATATATTGAAAAGACATGATTATGCATCTGAAGTTTATAAATTATTATCTATAATGACTGTTATTCTATGTTTAATAGACTTGCCTAGAGCCTATCTGACCTAAGGACCAAAGGCACAATCACACACGCATCAAAATAAAACATTATGCTCCCATGTACTGTCGTAATATTTATTGTAACTCATTACGGACGTTGCGATACTGGCATTTAAATATTCCGACTACTATAAAATATGATTCGTATTACGAAAAAAAAAAAGGTATTATCCCTTCTTCGTATGACGCAAGCTAATGTAATACGACGAACTATTGTAAAACCCATTGACAACAGAATTTTTTTATTCACTGTCATTTCTGTCCAGTATATTAGTACATTTTTTACAAAACACTTCTATCTTTACTATATTGCGTACATTAATAAAGAGATGTGCAAACGAACTTTTGAAAGTTGACCACGTAACTTTACTGGCTGATATAATAAATACGTTACAAATAATAGAAGATGTATAACCAGTATCATCCACACTTCAACATCAGGCTTAAAAAATTATTTAAAAGGTATTATCGTGATTTATGGACATTTTTGGATAGGTAAAAATGCATTAATTCTATTTTGATATTATCTTAGTTGGCTTTATTTAAAAAGTGCAAAAGCTTCAAATAAAATAATTGTATGCAGACCAAGTAACTAATTAACTAACATCATTATTTTGTTTCTTAAATTTTGCATCTAAAGAACTATAAATACATATTTTTCTCACGTGGATATCTTTCTTACGAAAAATATTTTTTAGAAGCCAGTAATGTTACATCGAACAAAATATACACATTTTGTAATTGTCTAAGCTCAACACCTACTATATTCTCAAGCTGAGAGCATGGCAGCATAAACCTACTCAATTCTATAATACAAGAATCTCGACACGAATTAACCGCTTTAAATAAATTAACAATTAATTTGCTTAGCTTTAAATTTTACTAAAAGTATTTGAATAAAATTTCGTGACTAATTTGATTGTTATAATGTATGGAAGCTATTGCGGTATCAAACTTAAATTAAGTAGGTTTACTTTATGTTACTCTCTACTAATTTTATAAAAATAGTAATTTATTACCGAAGTGGTTACAAAATTTATAATGAATCGAAGATTCATTGCAATACTTTATAGCTATATTCTAATCTTGGTAATGAATATATCATGAGTTATAACTGATATAAGGTATGTACAAATTTAACATCGTTTCATATACATGTGTTTGAATCAAAAAGTATTTAACATTCAGTATCGCATCAGTGCACTTCTGATTCTGTACGTAATTTTGTACAATCTATTGGTTTGTTTTGTGGATAACGCGTACAAGCCAAGTGGCAACCGACTTTCCTCTATGCTTAACCCTTCCGTGAATACTACAATATTAAAAGTATAATGCCATTGTATGGTGTACGATATCAAAAATAACAGAGAAAAGAAAAGGTATAATTTTACCATATACTATTATGTGATAGAGTTATCAACGACAATGTAATAAATAAACTGTTGCATTACAA